AAAAAAAAATGTGGTAGGTTTCCATTAAAAAAAATGTTACTATGTTTATCTCGTAAGTATAAAAAATTAATTTATAGTCATTGTTCACCTATAAATTTATTTGCCAAAAAAAATGATAGTTTCGGAAGAATAAAATCGTTTCCAAGTTTTTGGACCACCATGTATATTGTATTAAAGCATTGAAACTCTAATTCAAATTCAAATAAATATAATAAGAAAGAGAGCGCGCATAAGGGCAAATAAGAGAACAAAGCTTTGTAAACAAAAAGTCCGGAAAACTGCAAATTCGTAAAAGTTATAGTCAAATTTATATTTTTGTGTTTTTTTTTAATTTTATCAGCAATTTTCTCGATAACTATTTATTGTAGGACGTTAATCTCTTTTTTGTATGAGAAAAAATTAAATTTTCTTTCCAAGGGTACCAATCAAGAAGGACTAACGTCAATAATTCCCCAGTTATTAGCAATAAACCGCTTCAGGTAGCAAAAATCGTCCAAAATTTCGACAAAAATCAAAAAAATTAAGAGCTTTTTTATTTTAAACAAAATTATTATGTTTTTTCGAGGAAAAATCAAAGTTAAAAGTCCTAGAATAGTGTTGTATTAAAGATGGCAGAGAAAGTGTATAAAAGAGATTTAAAAAACTAAATACTTGACTTGAAAACCTGAAATTTTGAAAATCTAACAATTTATAGATAAGAATTCAAAGCAAAAACTAAAATCTAAACCCAGAAAAATACTGAAAAAGCTATGTAAGCTAAGTATTTAAAACGAAAAATATTCAGGAGGCCAAAAACTAAAAACATCTAAAGTAACAAAAAACTAAGAGCTCAAAACCAAAAAAAAAACAAAGAAATAAAAAATCTAAAAACATACAAAGCCAAAAATTTAGAAATTGTTCTTGTAAAATAATAACAAATGTAAAAAAAGAATATGAGGTTGAGCAGCTAAGCACTTGAAAACCTAAGAATCTAAAAACGCCAAAATGATAAAGTTTGTAATTTTTGACTTAAAAAAGTTAAAAAATAAAAGACGGGAAATTTAAATGTAAAAGCAAAAAAAAGAGCTCTAAAAGAAAAAGAATCTAAAAAATAGAATCCAAAAATTTAATTTTCGACTTATAAAAAACAAAATATTCAAAAATCAAAAATTAATTAATTCCAGAGTAAAAAAGAAAGAAAGTAATAGAATTTCTCTTGTAAACTCATAAAAGATAAAAAGCTAAACCTTCAGGACTTGAAAATTTGAAATTATGAAAATTTAATAATGTAAAAATAAAAAAATGAAAAAACGAAGAATTAATCAAAGAATTTAAAAACATGCAAACCCAAATGTAATAAAAAATAACAAAATAAGTGTTGAGTAACTAAAGAGTTGAAGCCCTAAGAACATGAAAATGTAATGATTTAAAAATCTATAAGAGTTTGTAATCTTTGACTTAAGAAAAAATAAAAAATAAAAAAAAACGTGATTTTCTTTTAATTTTCCTCTTTTGTCAAATGTATTTCACTCAAAACTATTTCCTCCCTACGTCGCTTTGACATTAATATATCAAATGAAATAGTTTTGAGTCATAATGAAATATGAGGAAAACCAAAAGAAAAACTCTGTAAAGCAAAATGTTGAAAAATCTGAGTAAATTAATTAATTAAAAATTAGAAGAAAAAAAAAGTATACAAAAATCTAATCTATTGAAGAATAAACCAAAGGTTGAAAAAATAATAAAGTGATGAAAAAACTAAAATATTCAATAATCGAAAATAACAACAAAAACGAAGCTAAAAAATTTCTCACCTGCGGTTTTTTCTCTTCGTTGGGCTTGATACACCTCACAAAATACGGATGACACAAATTCAAAGTTTTCATCAAAACATCAAGCGAACTCCTAAACTGCGACGCCAGCGTAACACTCCTTTTCGTGTGACTTTCTTGTTGAAAATCCTCGGCAAAAATCTGCTTCAGAAGTTCATTGTTCGACTCTTGAATCAACTGCTTCAAATCTTGACTAAACGAGTCGCGATTCTTCTCCAAAAACCCGGGAACATCATAATAAACAGCCCCCGCAAAATGCTGGACCCCAAAAGCAGGCGTAACATCGGACTTGGGCTTCAAATAATTCCTCTTCGCCGAGTGCGTGTTGTGCAGTTTTGCCAACATGGTAAAATCGGTCCCTTTGGGGAACTTCGACTCTTCGTCGATCAACGACATCAAATTCATCGGTTTCATCCCAATTAAATCGAGAACGTCTTGATTGTCAATAAATGCGATATTTTTCCAATTTATGCCCTCCTTGGTGTAATACTCTTGCTCAAGTTTGAAAATGTGTTGCACGAAGAATTGTTGCAAATTCTCATTGGCGTAGTTGATACACAACTGCTCGAAACTGTTAACAGCGAAATTCTCGAACCCGAAAATGTCCAAAACTCCAATTGAGGTTTTGGAACTCCCTTTGGGCTGATAAATCGCATTGTTGATTTTCTCAATAATCATGATAAAAAGCTTCCCGTAGATGCCTTTAACAAAGGCATGTCTCGATTCAGATGCTTGTTCTTGTGATAGAGTCGAAATAACCTTATCACCATGTGCATAGATGGTTTTTTTGGTGAGGGCTTCCCCCAAATCAAACTTATTACTCCCCAAAAGTCTTGCGATTTTATCAGCACCTGAAACGTCCTGAATTTCCGAGGATTCAGTATTCGACGCCGTCCCCGCCTTGAATTTCAGATTCCCCAAATGGAGGATCGCCGCCAACAACTGAAAAATATCATTGGCTTCCTTATCTGTGAAATTCAGGACTTTCATGGCCCCTCGAATGTCGGTGAATTCGTTGGCCTCATTCCGTCCCTGACACGTCAAAGTTCGACCCCCTTTGAGGTACAAATAATTGTCAGGTTCGCCTAAATCAAAACGTTTCTTCTCTTCTTTGCTCAGGCCTGCCAACATGCTGTAAAAAATGTGGTAGTTGCGTTCGCCGTCATTTTGCGAGACAATTCGGCTTTTCTCGAGGAGGTATTGCTCGATTCGGGCCCCCTCGATGTTTCCAGATTTGTTGAAATGAATGTCGATGTATTTGCCAAAGCGCGAGGAGTTGTCATTTCGGACCGTTTTGGCGTTACCGAAAGCCTCCATAATTGGGTTTGCTTCGAGGATTTGTTGCTCGATCCAAGAGTGTTGACCACTGGTGGAGGCCAAATACTGAAGAATCAATTTCGTGCTTTCGGTTTTCCCAGCCCCCGATTCCCCACTAAAATGACAATGATAACAAAAATTTGGGATAAGTAAGGCTCGGATTATATGCAAAATGCATATCTGTTATTAAGAGGTATATCAACAAAATTGTAAGTTTTCTATGCATATCTAATGTTTTTTGATTAAAATAAGCCAAATAAAAAATGCATATCTATACAGGTGCGCCAGAACTCGCGCCAAAGAGAAAAATGCCATATAAAGTAAGATGCCAAGAACATGGAAAAAATGTTAAAAAAATTTTATCTATAAAAATTTCGAAGTTATGAGGGTTTAAAGTTTGCTCTTTGACTCATTTATTTCTATTGGAAAAATAATTTTCCAAGTTTTTTTGCTATAGGCTATTAAAAGAGGAAACAAGGAAGCTGTATCCTAAATTGTAACTCTGTTTAATGTTATTTGTGGCTTTTATTGGCAAAATTTTTGTCCCCTTACTAAATAATTGTACAAAAACATATACAATATCATCAGTATCATTACATAGATATAAAAAATGTCAAATGTCAAAATTTTGTGACAGATAGAATTTTTTAAACATTTTTTTCATGTTCCTGGTATTTTACCTTACTTGAAAATTTTCTCTGAGGCGCGAGTCCTGGCGCACCCTGTATACAAGGTGTTCCGTTTTTATTGTTACAAATTTAAACAAATGATATTCAATTCTAAGACAAAAGTTTCCTATAAACATGTATCGAAAAATGCTTGGTAACGGAGCTACACCCCCTGGAAGGGGGCTAATATGTTTTTGCTAATATTTCAGAAACCATTTAAGATGAAATTACAAAATTTGGTACAGATGATAATCTTTATACACCTAAACGAATTAAAACATCAAATGTCGAAATTTTTAATCAGGGGCGTACGAAACTGGAGGAGTTTAAGGTAAAAAAATACCCTATTTATTTTGGCTTTAAGGTTATTTTTATCAGCTTTCCGATACCTAAATTTAGCCGTTTTTGAAATATTTGGAGTTTTTCAAAAATTTTTGAATTTGCACCTTACACTTTAAAAATCGGTAAGTCTGCAATTTTTTGAGATTTTGAATTCGTTTTTTTGGCGTTTGAGTGAGAAAGCTTAGATCCTTTTTCTGGTGTTTTCAAATTTTGAAAAAAAAATTACATATCCCAAAATTTTAAGG